CAACAAACCGCCTCCGCGGCCGCCGCCGAGCGCATGCGCCTCGCCCGGCGTGGCCACGTGAGGCAGCGGAGAGCGGGAGGTGGTGGTGGTGGGGGGGGTGAAATGGACTCGTACCCTTCTCGCAAGAACGCGTGCCTCTGGCCTTCGCAGCGCTGGGAGCGGTCTGCGCATGCGCCCCAGCCTGCAGGTTTCGCGCCGTACGTCTCTTTCCCCCCCCCCGCTCCGTCCTTTCCACCCCTCCCCATTGCAGAAGCGCCTCTCCGTAGGTTGGAGCTGTTCTTTGTACGTGACATGGGAGAAGGTGGCATTCTGGGCTGTAGCACGATGTCTCGGAGGGGCTTTCCTTGGATCCGCGTATGCAGAGTATTCGACGACTGGCGAATTCGGATGCTGTACTTTCATCTGCTTGATGAATTTGTACGTGCGCTTTGTAGCGATGCAAGGCAGTACTGTGGCAAACCATTTGCTTTTAAATGCAAAACTGAAAAAAAAACCACCTTGTGTTCACACCCTGGCATCTCTGTCGCAAAGGGGCTGAAAGCATTTAATTGAATTAATTTTGCACTCTAGTTTTACATATATTTATAGATTTTTGTACTACCTTTTCAGGACCTAAAATCCTCTGGTGAATACAAACAATAGCATAGCCAAAATCCTGTTGCCTAGGTATAGTAAAGCACTCTACCGTAGGCCCATTGAATCAATAGGGAGCTAAGGAAATCCCAGCTGAAATGCATGCGGGACTTCCTGTTCGCTGATGATGCAGCCGTTGTTGCCCACTCTGCTGAAGACCTCCAACAACTCATGAATCGTTTTAGCAAGGCCTGCCAAGATTTTGGATTAACAATCAGCCTGAAGAAAACACAAGTCATGGGCCAGGGCCTGGACTCACCTCCCTCTATTACCATCTCCATGCAAGAATTAGAGGTTGTTCATGATTTCGTGTACCTTGGCTCAACAATCTCTGACAAACACTCTTTAGATGTTGACCTGGATAAAGGCATCGGCAAAGCAGCTACCATGTTCTCTAGACTCACCAATAGAGTATGGCTTAATAAGAAGCTGACGGTGTATACCAAGATTCCAGTCTATAGAGCAGACCTCGGCAAAGTGCGGCCCAAGGGCCACATATGGCCCCCAAGCCACTCCTGTCCAGCCCGCGGACAGTTTTGAACATCAAAACCATTTATAGCTTTTTGTCTAAACTTGATCAGTTGCTTATCTTTAACATACCACAAAAAACTCTTTAGTATTTGTGAAGATTAACACATTTAAAATAAAAACAATCATAACATCACTGTTTCATTTTATTTTTAAGTAAAGTTGGTTCGGCCCCCACACACAGTTGATTTTTCATGTGGCCCCCCAATAGAAATTAATTGCCCACTCCTGCTATAGAGCCTGTGTCCTGAGCACACTCCTGTACTGCAGTGAGTCTTAGACCCTTTGTGCACGGCAGAAGCTGAACACGTTCCATATGCATTGTCTCCAACACATTTTTAGTATCACCTGGCAGAACAAAGTTCCAAATGCAGTAGTCCTAGAACAAGATGGAATTTTTAGCATGTATACATTGCTGAAACAGCGACGTCTATGTTGGCTCAGGCATGTCATGAGAATGGCTGATGGTCGGATTCCAAAAGATCTCCTGTATGGAGAATTAGTGCAGGGAAATCGCCCCAGAGGGAGACCACAGCTGTGATACAAGGATATCTGCAAGTGGGATCTGAAGGCCTTGGGAATGGACCTCAACAGATAGGAAACCTTAACATCTGAGTGTTCAACCTGGAGGCAGGCGGTGCATCACAGCCTCTCCCAATTTGAAGAGACCCTTGTCCAGCAGGCCGAGGCAAAGAGGCAGTCCCGAAACCAGCAAAACTAGGTAGCTGGGCAGGGGACAGATTGTATTTGTCTTCAGAGTGGAAGGGATTGTCACTCTTGAGTTGGCCTTCTCAGCCACACGAGACGCTGTTCCAAGACCTCTACTCAGAGCATGTTACCATCGTCTCTTGAGACTGAAGGATGCCTAAATTAAAATTAAGGAATCAAGTCCTCTGTAAATTCCACTGATGTAAATGGGTCCAGGCCAGTGCAGTTTACTATGCTAAGCAACAGAATTTTAAACTATAGGTAAATCGCCCTTCTCTGTGCATGCACACAGCTCTGTCAAATAAACAGTACTAAAGAACATAAGGACAATCAAACTGAAGGCTTTATAATTTTTTTTTTAAATCTGCTTTGGGGAAATACTGATAAATGAGGAAGCACCATAAAATTCAATAGGGGGGATTAAATTGCAGATATACCCTGTTTCTGGCATCTGAAAGCATAACATTTTTTCATGATGAACATATATTTTACTTGTTTCAAGAGATTTCATGTCTTTTAGAACTAAAAAGTTCTCAAGTAACTTACAATTGAAATGTAATAAAAATTAAAATAGAATTGTTTTAAAAACCCATAAACAACCTATAATCTGATGGTTAAAACAGCAACATAAAACACCAATGCTGTACATTTGTTGCTTGGACATACTGCACCATAGGTGCTAATGGCACTGCTTATGAATTGCCCGGAACTGCAAATACAGTATAGGAGTAAAAATTGTGTGCTGGGGAAGCATAAGGAAAATGAAGAGATATGGGTGAAAAAAAGGCTCAGCATGGTCAACTCACAGGTCCTGCAGGTGCTTCACATCCATTCCGTGACAGCCCTGTCAGGTGTGCTATTTATGGTATACCTATACTAGTTCATAATGGCAGAAGTCCAGTAATATGGAAAGACTCCAGAATGCACCAACTAGCACAGAAAGGAACTGAACACCTGCCACCCTTATTGCCGCCTCCAATTCATCACCTTCCTGGTATGTTGGATTATAACTGGTTTCCGGGCTCAGTGCAGCATACAGGTTTTAAATCTGCAAAGACTAATTACAGGAACTGCTTCTCTTAGCCTCCCCCACCATTAAACTTCTTTAACTTTTTAATTTTTTTTTTAAATTGGGGCACTGTCAGTGCTGACAACACAATTGTGGCACACAAGGCCCATTGTGTGTGTGAGTGTGTGTGTGAGAGGGAGAGAGAGAGATTTTAGGTATGCTCTGAAACACTTCCTGTTTCACAAAGCTTTTATATTGCATTCTTCCAGAGAAATTCCACGTCTTTTTGTTTGGTTCTTTCTCATGGGGATATGAATACTTTACGGAAACCAACAAAACATCTATTCCTTTTACCCCAGCCATACCCATTATAGCTTCTATTTTCTACAGTTTGCTTTTCTTCCCACAACGACACACATTTATGCTGTCACAAATGTGGTTCCTTTTAAGACTGTCTACTGCCTGTGACTCTCAAGCCATCATCTGAAGACCAATAGTGCAGCAGATGACAAAATCCTTTAACTCATGTACTGAAAGAAAGTCCAAATACACCGGATAACTGACTGTTAAAGCAAATGCCTCATGAACCTACAAGACTACAATGGAGTCATCTTGACTGGGCAATGCAGACTTAGACAGGCTTATGTGGCACCTATGTTTGTGATCAATTTGGCACCAGGGCAGAACCTCAGAGATTTATTCACCTTTCACATTTTGTTTAAATCTCCTGTTTTATAGTAGATACGGAAACAAAGGGCTAAGTATCCTTGACTAATTTTATTCACATAGCCTTCTCCTCCCTAAGTCCACAACCAAAACAAGTATCTCTGTTTTACATATTTTAATTTAAAAAAATACACATTTGAAAATGTCAGAGAACACCAATGCTAAACAGCATCTTTGAGTGAATGCTTGGCCCTCTGCTAGTTGAGGCCCAGTCTGGAGAAAAAGTCCTGTCTCGGAAAGTGGCAAGGGGAGCCACTCTGACCAGAAGCGTTGTCACAGTGGATTGAAACCGCTTGCACCCATCATTTCTTCTGTTTGGGTGGTGGTCTGTATGGAAAAAGAAGAGCTGTATTAGTGAATAAGGTGACTTAAGCCTGCATTCAATCCTGCTTTTCAGGGAGAAAATTTACTCTCACATTTGACAATCATATTCAGGATCTTCAGGCTGAATCTTGACTTGCGATAAATTTAAATTGCAAGCATGAGAGGCATATTTATCGTGGAAAAGACACTCCACCCTGTGCCTTCAGGACCTTTCACCATAAGAAATCCCATCTTCCCAGGCATGCAATGACAGATGGGAGACTATGGTTCCAGACAACAACTTGCAGTAAAACAATGGACAAAATCAACACAGGACAATTTAATTACGAATGGAAGAATGTCGGCGAAATCATACCATGCCCTAGGCAATCTATAACCTACATGAATTCGAAAATTTTGACTTTTCTTGAAACAGAATTAGTCGATAGCTGCATGAGAGCCACTGTAGTGCAGTGGTTAGAATATTAAACTGGGTCTTAAAAGATCTGGGTTCAAATCTGCTGAGCTATGGAAATTTGCTGGGTGCTGGCAGGGTAGTAATCCACTCCTTGAACAGTTCACATGTCTTAAAAACCCTATTAGGGTTGCATGTGATTTGACAGCACATAACACACACACACATACAACAGCTGTTGGATTGCTCTGCAGCTGCAATACAAACTCTATCACCCAAAACTAACAAACCCATTTATTCACACGTCCTCTCAAGATACCTGAGTAATCAAAAGAATACCCTTGTAAAGTCCCCACATCTACTTACAGAGGAAAACCTACTTAAATCTCAGCAGTTACACTGGTATATACAACTGGAACCTTGCTCAATCATCCTCCTCCTCATCAACCTGCAGAGACTGAAGGGTCCCTATGGATCATTGTGTCCAGCCACTATCAACGAGGCACAGTGGGAGAATCAAATTCCAAACCTCTGGCTCAGCAGCCAGATACCTAAAGCACTGAGCTATCTAGCCGTTCCCTGGGTTAAACGGTACTTAGGTAAAAGGGAGCTCGGTTTGAGTTAAAACCTGCTTGGGTAAAAACATGCTCGGTTGCTTTAAAACAGGGGTGTCCAACTTTGGCCCTCCAGATGTTCTTAGACTACAGCTCCCAGAAGCCTTCGCCACCACCTCTGCTGGCCAAGATTTCTGGGAGTTGAAGTCCAAGAACATCTGGAGGGCCAAGGTTGGATGCCACTGCTTTAAAAGCTGCCTGTTTTGGTGTAAAAGGTGCTTGACCTCTGGGTAGAGTGGGCGGCATATAAATTCAATAAATAAATATGTAAATAAATAAATTGATTTTAAAAATATTCTTTTTAAACAGTGTAGTTCGTTCTCTCCGTGGTTTCCTGCTTTTTTTTAACCTACGCCATCTTAGGTTTAAAAAAAGAAAAATATTCTGCCCCTAGTGTTAGGAATGGATTAACAGGCTTTGCATTTGTTCCTATGGGAACTAATGATTCGACTGACAAACCGCCCCTCGACCTAAGAACCAAAAACAGCCGGAACAGATTAATGGGTTTTCAATGCATTCCTACGAGAAATGCTGATTCGAGTTATGAACTTTTCGACTTACAAACTTCCTTCCAGAACGGATTAAGTTTGTAAGTCGAGGGTTAACTGTAAATAAATGATGCCAGATGGGCGGGATATAAATCGAACAAACAAACAAACAAACAAACAAACAAACAAATAAATAAATGTGCATCATTAATGAAAAGAGGCAGGGACCTCTGTCTCTCCTTTTGTCATAGGTCTCTTGTTCCCATCAGCCCCAAACTGCCAGCGGACAGTGATGATAAAGGAGTACAGTGGATCCTCAACTTACGGAATTAATCCGTATTGGAACAGTGGCCGCAGGTCAAAAAGTCCGTAGGTCGAGGATCCATTTCCCATAGGAATGCATTGAAAACCATTTAATCCGTTTGAGGCAAAGAAAAAAACATCCTGGACTTCCAAAGCTGCACCTGCTGCCCTCTGTCTCCTCTCCCTGGTGCTCTCTGCCTTCTGTCCCTGTGTGGCAGAATGCAGAGGGCACCGGGGACGGAAGACAGAGGGCAGCGGGTGCAGCTTTGGAAGCCCGGGAAGCCGAAAGCCACGCTGCTTCGCGCCCGCTGCCTGCTTTCCAGGCTTCAAAAACCCCTCCGCTGCCCTCTGTCTCCTGGCCCTGGTGCCCTCTGCCTTCTGTCCCCACAGGGAGAGAAGGCAGAGGGCACCAGGGACGGGAGACAGGGACGGAGAACGGAGTTGTGAAGCTCGGGAAGCCGAAAGCCAGCAGCGGGGGGCCGAGTGGCTCAGAAAGCCGGCAGCTGGCACAGAGTGGCGCGGCGGGGGACCTCCGGATGCCTTCCCTGCTGCCATAGGAGGCCTCTTGGAGGTCCCCACCCCCGCCGATAGTGCCTCCGAAGCACTATCAGCAGTGGGGGGGGGACCTCCGAGATGCCTCCCATGGCGGCAGAGAAGCCCTGGAAGGCATCTGGAGATACGGCCTACGGACGGGAAGGGCGAGGCGGGGAAAGCTTGGCGCTTTCCCCGCCTCCTCCTTCTGGTCTGTAGGTCGATTCTCCGGCCACAAGTTGAAGTGAAAATTTGTGGCCGGAGAAGTACGTAGGTAAAAAAAGTACGTAAGTGGAGCTGACCGTAAGTTGATACTCCACTGTAAAATATCTTTGGAAAAGACAGTTTCCTTGTCTATGGTCAAGCCCTATACATTTTGTCCATATTGATTTTTATTGCTCTTCTCTCCCCACCCCTCTCACTGATATCAAAGGCAATGATTGTTCAGAGCATGGTTTCTCAGAAAGGTGTTTCTTTCCTGTTGTTTTCTAGTCCCAGGAAAAATTGAAGATGAAGCTGATGGTTGTTTTCCCAGGAACCGAGGAAAGAAATGACCAAGCACCTAATAGTCTTCCCCAAGCCATAATGCTGTCTGTAGGAGCACAACTTTTAAAAGTTACTTTGTTGGACAACAGGCTTCAGAACTTGCCAGCCAGCATGACCAATGCTGAATGGAGGGTCCTAGGAGTTGCAGTCCAGAAAACCAGCTTTCTCAAACTGTCTCCATGAAGCAAGGGATACAGATCCTCAGTGGCATCTGCTAGATAGCTCAGTGGCTTAGATCTCTGGCTGCAGAACCAGAAGTTGTGAGTTCAGTTCCTCACTATGCCTCCTTGAGAGAGACTGGACTCGATAAGGTCCCTTCCAGCTCTTATTAATATTTATTAAACATCAACAGACAATATAGTGAATAGTAAGTGCACCAGTTTCAACAAAACTCTGAATACACCTAATGATTTTCAATCAGGACATATTCTCCTAACTTTATCACCCAACTTGCCATCTACAGAGAAAAAACCATAGCTCAGTGTTACAGCACCTGCACTGAACACTGAAAGTTCTATCTCCAAGCTTTGGCTGGGATCATTAGGGAAAATGATCAGGTAATATGTTGGCAGGAAAGACCTCTGCCCAAGACCTTAGAGAACCACTGCCAAACAAATTATAAACAATGCTAGATTGGAAAGAAAAAATGGGAGAACTTGAATTAAAACAACCTCTTTGGTTCTTACACAGCATAGGATAAGCCAGGAATACCTGACGGATTATTTTAATTAAAACAATGCTGGGGAATGTGCAGCTGCTCTAGTTTTGCTGGACTGCGGCTCTTTTTCACCACTGGCTAAGCCGTCTGATGAGTGCTACAGTCCAGCAGCATCTAGACAGGTACACATTCTCCACTCCTAGGTTAGAAATCTAATTAAAGCCATTAGAAAGGAAAAGAACACTTTGTACTACAAAAGAGATACACAAGACCTTCAACTTGCACAGTCTGGTTAGAGCACATAACTATTATTAATACTCTGGGTCAGAACTTAGGCCAGGGTAGACAAAATCCTGCCCAAACCCTGTTGCATAATACTGTACAGGCAAAGTTGTAAATTTTACTCTATTCCTTGCTGGTAAATAAAAAGTCCCCACTGCAATTATCGGGGGAGGGGGGAGAGGGAGAAAGAATGTGGTTTCTAGCTTGGCCCATATATCCCCTAAAAATGCAGTGGTAGTTTTTTATTCACCTGCAAGGAACAGAACAAAAAGAAAGGTTACTTACCTGTAACCATGGTTCTTTGAGTGGTGCTCTGTAAATTCACACAAATGGGTTAAACTGCGCCTCTGGAGGACTCTTCGGAATATTCTAGAACTAATAAACTGACCAATAAAACATTTGCCCATGTTGCGCATGCTCCGGCCGCCCGCGGTACCTCAGTTCTGAATGTCTGACGCTGCCAAGGGTCTAATATTATTAAAGCTAAAAGGCAGACTCTGACGGGGAGGTTGGGCGGGATGTGTGAATTCACAGAGGACCACTCGAAGAACCAGAGTTACAGGTAAGTAACCTTTCTTTCTTCTTCGTGGTCTCTGTGAATGCACACAAATGGGTGACTAGCAAGCTCACTTACCGAAAGGAGGGCCGTCACGGTAGAACCAAAGTCAGCACGGCCCTTCCAAATCTCTCTTCCTTTTTGGCTCTGACATCCAGCCTGTGATATGTAGCAAAGGTCATCGGTGTGGACCAAGTCACTGACCAACAGATGTCAGAAAGTTCAATGCCATGCAGCCAAGCAGTAGAGGTAGCCATGGCTCTAGTAGAGTGAGCCTACAGCACATCTGGCAGAGTCTTGCCAGTCAACCGATAGGTTAACGCAATGGTAGATACTATCCACCTGGACACAGATTGAGTGAAAGCTGGGTGACCTTTTCTGGGTCCATGGAAACAGACAAACAGTTTAGGAGATTTATGGAAGTCCTTAGTCCTAGAAACATAGAAAGCCAGCACTCGACGAATATCAAGGGAGTGGAGCATACGCTCAACATCTGAAGAAGGGTTAGGAAATAACGTTGGGAAACTCAAAGGCTGATTAACATGAAAATTTGAAATCACTTTCAGGAGGAATGAAACATCAGGGTATAAGATGACCCTATCAGGGTGGAACTGTATATAGGGTGTATTAG